TCCAAGGAGTGGCTGGTGGGTTTGAATCGCCAGCCGTCTGGCTAGCAGGCAAGTGTCTTAGCCACTGTGCTACCAGAGCTCCTTAAGTATGTACTTGTTGTTGTTGATGTTTGCCGTGGAGTCAGCCCTGACTCATAACGACCCCTCCTTGGGTTTCCGAGGCAGTATCACTACGGAAGTAGGATTGCCCAACCTTCCTTCCGAGGAGTGGCTGGTGGGTTTGAACTGCCAGCCTTCTGGTGAGCAGTCAAGTGCCTTAGGCACTATGCTACCAGAGCTCCTTGAGTATGTACTAGTGTAGGAAAAACAAATATGTATTTAATGCCATTAATCATTCACCAAATCAGGGTTGAAAAAACAACTCTGTAGATTCCTGCTTCTAGGACAGCATCTCTATGGAAAGAGTATAGCACAAAAGGCTGAGGGCTTCTTTTATTATGTATTGTATAATCGTAATCACCAACCTGCTTTAATCAGTCAGGCAATGAGTATCTGCTGGAGTGTATAAAGGCCACTTGTTATTGAAAATATCAAGTGCTTTCCTTGGGAGTTCACAAGGGACATTTGAAAAAGATTCTTATCTTTCCATCCACTCTACCGCACTTGAAAAGTGAGTTGCCTTCTGGTTGATTAAAAACCTTTAATGTATGAACGCAAGCTATCCACCTTTTAGGGTTCATTCTAGTAGGTTTAAAAAATGTTTTGTTATTGTAGTATGAGGACATAGTGTCAGTCTTTTCTTGAGCACTTGACTGCTAACCAGAAGGCTGGCAGTTCAAACCCACCACCCACTCCTCAGAAGGAAGGTTAAGCAATCTACTTCTGTAGTGATACTGCCTCAGAAACCCAAGGAGGGGTCGCTATGAGTCGGGTTTGACTCAACAGCACATAACAACAACAACAACAACAACAACACTTAGAGTCAAGGATGAAATTCTCAGTCTTGAAAACTCAGCTATAGCTTGGCAAACCAACATAAGAATTCAGCCAAAGGCCTCCAGCCTCTGCGCCACCCATATTAATGGAAACATTCAACCTTAGATTACCTGGTCTTTCATAACTGAATGTTGTTATTCAACACCACTGTGGGTAACTCGAATTGATAGTGATTCTTTCAGTGATCCTGTTGGGTGATGGCTACTTTATTTTGAAGTGGGCAAGGCTAGAATTGATACACAACATTACCACCAGGTTCATGAGGCCAATTCATATGGCTAGCATCCATTTTCATTGACTGAAGTCCCATTCTGATTGGTTGGTGCCCTTGCCTTGTTGTTGTTGTTGTTAATTGCCATCAAGTCAGCTCCAACTCATGGAGACCTTATGTATAACAGAATGAAAGTTTGCCTGGTCTTGTGTCTAGTGCCTAAGGCATTTGACTGCTAATCAGAAGGCTGGTGGTTCAAACCCACCAGCCACTCCTCAGAAGGAAAGTTGGGCAATCTGCTTCCATAGTGATACTGCCTCGGAAACCCAAGGAGGGGTTGCTGTGAATCGGATCCAACTTGACAGCAGTGAGTTTGGTTCTGGTTTTGTGCCATCTTCATAATGTTTGGTATGCTTGAGTCTATTGTTAGAAATATTGTGTCAATTCATTTCATGGAGGGTTTCCTACATCTTCATTGACCCTCCACTTGACCAAACATGATGCTTTTGCCATACTAGATACTAAATATTTTTAGTATCACCTATGTATTCCCCATATGAATGCACAAAATATCAGGGTCATTGTTAATTGTTTCATTCCTCCCTGGTCTTCACATACCACCAGGATGCCTAGTGAAATTTTTACATGTTTTATTTTAAAAGTTAGTTATAATCCTCTCCACCATTTCTTATTGCCGAACATGTTTTAAAAGTGTACACAGATAACTTAAAACAATTTACCCAACTTTTCATTAATGAAAATTAATTTTTTATTTTCCCTCCATTACCACTCTTTATCCTTCTAGGCGTTCTATATTCCTTAGGGTCTTTATGTCCCTTTTTAATCTTTTTCCAAGAAGATTACTGCTGTATATTAATTTGGGTGAGAATTCTCCCAAATCAGGATGTAATCTGATGCCAGAGAAAGAGGGTAAAGAAACAGGAAGGGAGGGCTAACCCTGTAAAGATTATCTCTTCATCCTAAATGGGTTCTAGATCTTTGAAGTATTTGTTTTGTTTTTTGGAATTAAGAACAATAGGACCACTGGTTGCCCCTGGTGCACCTCAGGCACTATACTGATACTTTGCCCACCCTGGCTTGTTTGAATTGATGTGATAAATTTATTTTTAGCTGCTGTCTTTTTGATCCATTATTGTGTTGGATGGTCCGACTGAGTGATGAATTTGGCCAGATATCCCCTTCTGGCTGAACTGGTCCTTCTTGTGTTTTATTACTTGCGAAGCCATGCTTTGTGGAAGACAGATTGGGAGAGGTAGTTATATAGATTAGTGTTGATCTGCTATAAAACTTCTGTCACGTGGTTGCTTTGGCCAATCTGTAATGAGCCACAAAGCCTTTCATCAGTTATATGATCACTCAGTGACCTTGAGACTGACACTCCTGGGCTAAGGCACTGAGCACATGAGTCAGAGTTGGTCAAATGAGCAGAGAGAGACTGAGCTGGAGCACAGAGTGGGGCTGTGCAGAGCAGGTGCACCTGGAGCTGGACCTTGAGAACACACCTAGGAATGGACCTAGAAGAGCTTGGAAATGGAGGGGAAAGCCAGAGGATGAGGACGGCTTGAGGATATTACAAGATAGGTTTAGAGAATGAAGACACACTACCTGAGTGAGATGTGGAAATGGGTATTGGGGTGAGTGTTACTGTTGTTATTTTTAGCTGCCACTGAGTTGGCCTGACTCATGTCAGCCCCATACATAACAGAAAGAATCACTTCCTGGTCCTGGTCCTGCTCCATCCGCATGATCAATTGTGGATCAGACTGTTGTGGTCCATAGGGTTTTATTAGGTGATTTTTTTTTTTTTTTTTTTTTTTGGACGTAGACCTCCAGGGTTTTCTTTCTAGTCTATCTTAGCCTGGAATTTCCACTCAGCATCATAGCAACACACAAGCTTCCACGGACAGTCAAGTGGTGGCCACACGTGAGGTGCGTTGGCTGAGAATCAAGCCTCCAGTCTTCAGTGGGGAAGCTAGAATTACACCACTGAACAACCACTGCCTTTGTTAGGGTGGGTAGTGGGAAATACAGTTGTTGTGAGTAATGAGCCTGCAAAGTCCCCAGAAACAATCTGTCCTCTAAGGGCATGAGGGGTCAAATCAGTGGTATCAGGTAATATACACGTAAAACATTCCATTTTGGTGTTATATATTTTCATTTTGCTTGTACATTTCAAAGAGGTGGCACAGTGGTTAAATGATTGGCTACAAACCAAGCATGGTTTCCATGGGAAAAAGATGTGGCATTTTGCATCTGTAAAGATTTAGAGCCTTAGAAACCTTATGGGGTGGTTCTACTCTGTCCTATAGGGTTGCTATGAGTTGGAATCTACTTGGAAGTGGGTTTTGTATATTTCATTGGTGGTTTCCATTATGAAATCTACCATCATGTGTAAATCTCCTGCCTAAGGGATTCTGCACTGCTGGCTCCTCCCAGGGACAAGATAAGGAAGTGTGGGAGGCCTGCCGGTTCTTCTTCATTCCCTTTCCCTGGCAAAGTGGCACCCATCATCTATGAAATGCATGCAAGAATGTACCCGCTCAAGGGCAGGGACTCATTGTGCTTGTACTGAGCTATATCCTAGGATAATGACTGGCTCTTAGCCAGCCTTTGATAAAGAGTGTTTAACAAATGAATAAATTTATATGATAAGAAAGCAGTTAGTATGTATTTAAGCCTTCTGGGCTCTGTTTTATTTTCAACTCTTTGGTTACTTCTGTTTCTGTTTCCTTTCTCTTCCCCCTACCATGTATACTATGGGTCTCTTGGCCATTTGAGCCCTCCTTCTGTCTCCTCATGCCCTTACCTCCCCCACCCCCCACCCATTAATACCTTTCTTGTCATCACTGCTCCAAAGGAAGTCAAGATGGGGAATGAGAAGGTGCTGAGGCTACCCTTCTCCCATGGCTAGTGAAAGAATCTCAGTGGGCATTTCCCTCTCGGACATTGACCAAAGCAAAATGTTTTAAATATTTATATATGGACTTAAATTTGTACTTGTTATTCTCCCTTTACTCAACACAGTGGTTGTGATTGCAGATTCCTTTCTTCTTTCCCCATTAACTCAATTCTCCAATCATTGTCTCTCCTTCTGAATAAGAGATAGGGAAGATCTTGTGGGAGCCCTGTCTAACCTAGATGGTAATGACACATCCCAGAGTCAGCTGCTTAGGCACAAAGTACTGTGCTCACAATGACCTACTTGGACAAGCTTTTTGGTATCAAATGGCAGCCCCAGAGGGTGTGGTCTGCATCAGCTGTATAAGTTTCCTCTGACTGCAATAACAAATAACCCCAAATTTAGTGGCTTAAAACAAACATAGAGTTACTGTCTTACAGTTTGTGAGGTCAGAATTCCAACACAGGTCTTACTGGACTGAAATCAAGGTGTCTGTAGGGCTGTACTGTCTCCCTGGAGACTCCAGGGGAGAATGTTTCCTTGCCTTTCCAGCTTTTAAAGTCCACCTGCATTTTTTGGCTGATGGTTCCATCTGCCCTCTTTAAATCTGTCTTCCAGTCTTCTCTCTCTCCCCAGCTCCCTCCTCTTTGGGTTGTCACATCACCTTCCCTAACTCTGACCTTCTTGCCTCCCTCTTTCATTTACAAAAAGTAGTTACTTTGGACCCACTAGATAATGCAGGATATCTCAAGGTGCTTAACATAATTATAAAGACCCTTTTGTGTAAGATAACAATTTCACAAGTCCCAGGGCTTAGGATGTGGACATCTTTGGGGATGGGTTATATTCAGCCTATAAAGCCACACTGTCATATTGAGACATCTCTGAAAACATGACTATTAAAGTAGATTATTCAAATGTCTTTATTTTCAGATGCAGAGAGAAATTGTTTATGCAAGAGGAGATGGTTCTATTGCCTCTCGACCTGGATCCACAGCTCATCCGCCCCATGCAATTCCAAACTCTCCACCATCCACTCCTGTGCCCCATTCCATGCCTCCCTCCCCATCCAGAATACCTTATGGGGGCACCCGCCCGATGGTTGTTCCTGGCAATGCCACCATCCCCAGGGACAGACTCTCCAGCCTGCCTGTCTCCAGATCCATCTCACCAAGCCCAAGCGCCATTTTAGAAAGAAGAGATGTAAAGCCAGATGAAGACATGAGTGGCAAAAACATTGCAATGTACAGAAACGAAGGTTTCTATGGTGACCCTTACGTTTACCACGAGGGGCGGATGAGCATCGCCTCTTCCCATGGCGGGCACCCTCTGGATGTCCCTGACCACATCATTGCATATCACCGCACAGCAATCCGGTCAGCCAGTGCTTATTGTAATCCCACTTTGCCAGCGGAAATGCATATGGAGCAGTCACTGTACAGACAGAAATCAAGGAAATACCTTGAAAGCCACTTGCCTACTCTTGGCTCCAAAACACCGCCAGCTTCTCCTCACCGAATAAGCGACCTGAGGATGATAGACATGCACCCGCATCATAATGCCCACGGGTCCCCTCATACCATGCAGCCAGAGAGGGCCTCCCCGAGCCGCCAGTCCTTCAAGAAGGAGCCAGGCACCTTGGTATATATTGAAAAGCCACGGAACGCTCCAGGATTATCCGGCCTGGTGGACCTTGGCCCTCCTCTAGTTGAGAAGCAAGTTTTTGCTTACAGCACTGCTACGATACCCAAAGACAGAGAGACCAGGTAAGGTGTGGTGAGTGTGCACAAGATGCACACTCAGGGCCTATGTGTGGGTAAGCATCTCTGTTCACTGCATGTGTAAGCCTTGGGTCTGCTCTACAAAGCTCAGACCAAGACAACGAATGTGGTCTGAGCCACCAGCCTTGGGTGGAACTCCCTGCAGGTGCTGCAGAGGATGCAGAGTGGGGCCAGAGGTCCTCTTTGTCTGCAGAGTTTCTGAATCAGTAGGGTTATAGGAGCTGTGTTATAGAATTAGTGATTTTTTTAGTGAACATGTTATAGTGATTCGTCAAGCAGGCATCCCAATCATGGCCTTAATGGCCTCCCTGGGTGGTACGAACAGTTAACATGCTTGACTACTGACTGAAGGTTTGGTGGTTCGAGTCTACCTAGGGGTGCCTCAGAAGAAAGCCTTGGCAATCTGTTTCTGAAAAATTAGCCCTTGAAAACCCTATAGAGCACAGTTCTGCTCTGACACCTTTGGGGCTGCCATGAGTTGAGCTCAATGGCAACCTGTTTGATTTGGTTTTTTATCGTTAGTATAGATTTGAATAATTTGGAAGAAAATTATGGTTAACAGAAACCATGGGGACAAATAGATCAAGATATCCTAATAATTGATCTGCCACTGAAAACAAGAAGGGAGTGTTTCACATTTTAACTGTGTGAAATGGCCATTTGTGTTTTTCCTTCCGGCATGTAGTTTTGCTGCCTCCTCTGGTTCTAGGAAATGGAAAGAATGTGTCAACGTCTGTCTTTCAGAATGATAAACATGGATTTGCATGAAAGTAGAATGGTTTAGATTTAATACTCATTTGGGAATGGTGCTAAGATCAGCAAAAATTTTCTAGTAAATGAGACACTCTGAATATTTAAATTTCTTTTTTAATATTACTTCTTGAAAAGTCCCCAAAGCCCACATGGTATAGGTACTCCTGGCTCTTCAGAAGTTCACTTTATAATACTTTGCTTTTACGACAGACCTATGTTAATACCTGTTTTTGCTAAAGCAAAAAGAAATCCAAAGGGGTTTTCACATTTATGAAAAAACACAAGAAGGGAAACTAGCAGTCAGTACTTGGTTTGCAGCAAGCTGTTAAAGAAGCAGCACATACCCCAAGCAGCGAGAATGGCATGGCCAACATCCTTCCCCGGAACTACAATCTGCATTTCAGCGTCAAGCCTCTGTAGCTTGATCTGTGTTTGTGAGTACTATATGTTAGTGTTACTTTAGCTTTCCTGTGTTATTTGGTAAGGATCTTTGGTGGCACAGTGCCTAAGGCCCTTGACTGCTAACCAAAAGGTTGCTGGTTCAAACCTACCAGCCACTCCACAGGAGGTAGACCGGGCAACCTACTTCCATAAAGATTTACTGCCTCGGAAATGCAAATGGGGTCGCTTTGAGTCAGGTCACTGTTGACTCGATGGCAGTGAGCTTGGTTGTTTTTATTTGTTTGTTTGTTTTTTGTTTGTGTTGTGTGGTGTGTTTTGGTAGGTTATTTTTTGGGTCTGGGAATGCTCAGAAATTTTTCCCACATAAATTAATGGTAATTGCTTCTTCACTTTACGCTTACGAGAGGTTTCATAGGAACCTCTACTTTCAGATAGTGGGGGAAACCAGTAATAGAAAAATGAATTTTGATAGGAAAAATTCCTCTAGCCTGAACTAGCTGAAGAAAATCAACATAATAATTATAATAATAAAAATCTACTCAAAGAAATTGAGTCCAAGTGAGGGTATGGATTTCACCTGCTGTCATATATGAATTCAGATAGTATGTGAAAGATGAAATCTAGATATTCCATTGCTCAGAGCCTCATTGGAATCACTGTCTTCTCTTCCTCAATAATAAAGTTTGTTGTTGTTATTGTTGTTATGTGCTGTCGAGTCAAACCCAACTCAGAGAGAGCCCTCCTTGGGTTTCCGAGGCAGTATCACTACGGAAATAGATTGCCCCATCTTCTTTCCGAGGAGTCCTGATGGGTTTGAACCACCAGCTTTCTGGTTAGCAGTCAAGTGCCTTAGGCACTATGCTACCAGAGCTTCCAGTAAATGTAGTATCACTTACTATTACATAACTTTGTTTAAAAAAAAAAAAAAAAGACCAGAATTTTTAATGGAATGTGAATTGTCAACCTTCCTTTTTACACACAAGTGAGAAATGCCTACCTCTTTGTATAATGAAAGTGCTGTCCTGCTTATCTATTCAGTCAAAGGGAATACTACAGCAGAGAGATTCCAAGTAGATGGAAAGAAAATAAACTTGGAAATTTGGGAATCATGAATTCAACCACAAATTCTGACTCTCTCACACAGTTAGAAAACTAGCAATGGTGACTGGCTTTCTTATGTAGAACTAAGAAAAATCAAGACTTGAAAAATAGTATTCATTCTCTTTTTTTTCCCAAGTCATTGCTGATGGTTGCTGTTGAGTAGATTTTGGCTCATGGTAACCCCATATGTACAAAGTAGAGCTGATCTGTAGGGTTTTCATGACTGTGATCTTTTGGAAGCAGAATGCCAGGCCTTGCCAGGCACCTCTGGGTAGGTTTGAACCACCAAACTTTCAGCTAGAAGTCGAATGCTTAAACATTTGTGCCAACGAGGGACTGCCTCCAAAGCTGTTGTGTTGTTGTTGATATGTGCCATCAAGTCAGACCTGACTCATAGTGACCCCTTCTTGGGTTTCCAAGGTAGTATCACTATAGAAGTAGATTGCCCACTCTTCCTTCCGAGGAGTGGCTGGTGGGTTTGAACCTTCAGCCTTCTGGTTAGCAGTCAAGTGCCTTAGGCACTATGCTACTAGAGCCAAAGTTGTTAGGAAGTGAAATTCTAAGAATCAAGAAAGAACCACTCATGACAGTGAGTAGTGGAAGGGTATGGTATGAACATTGAAGTTTCATTAGAACAGACCAATGTCACAAGCAACAATCGAGCCTACCAGGACTGGCCTTGAAAGGCACAGCAGTCAGCGTTAAGGTTGGGAAGTTCGTGCTGTGTGCTCAGAAAGTGTGGCACATGGTCTTTACTGCAGTGGGGTGTGGGGAGCTGGTGGGGAAATACGTGTCACTGAGAACATGAGACTTTGGGCCATAAGAATTTAAGGAAATATTTTAAATTTTCCATTTCTAAGATATAATGTTGAAAAGTAGAACCTATCCTGCCTACCATCCCAGCATCCTTGTACCCCCACTGTATGGGTGGAAGAGAACTGAGACCTTGATTTTATATTAAGCTGTTGTTATGTTTCTACCCTGTTAGATTCTGAGCAGTGGTGATTCAGTGGTAGAATTGTTGCCTTCCATGAGGAAGACCTGGGTTTGATTCTTGGCCATGTCCCTCATGCTCAGCCAGCACTCATCTGTCAGTGGAGATTTGGTGGCATAGTGCCTAAGGCATTTGACTACTGAGCAGAAGGCTGGCAGTTCAAACCCACCAGCCACTCCTCAGAAGGAAGAGCAGGGAATCTACTTCCATAGTGATACCACCTTGGAAACCCAAAAAGCGGTTGCTATGAGGTGAATCAACTCAAAAGCAGTGAGTGAGGTTTTTTTTTTTTTTTTTGGGGGGGGCGGTAATGAGGATGAACAATGTTGAGTGGAACTTCTATCTATATCTATCTATCTATCTATCTATCATCAAATATGATGAACCAGGGAAAAAGGCCTGGTGATCTACTTCCTAAAATCTACAAATGAAAACCCTGTGGATGACACTGGGTTCCATAGTAAACCGATTCAGTCATGAGGTTTTGTTTTTTTGTTTATTTGTTTTCTGTTTTTAATTTTTTATTGTGACTTGGGTGCAAATTTACAAAGCACATTCATTTTACTTTCAACAGTTTGTGCACGTGTGGTTTCATGGCCCTGATTACAATCCCCAACCATAAAAGGCTCCTCCATCTCCTCCCTGCGACTACCCCTTCCCTGTGCCCTTCTTAATCTATGCATTCCTGTCTGTCCAGCTTTCCCTCTATGCAAATACTGCCCTTCTGATGTCTCATGGTTGATTGATCTAAGGGGTATATCTCCATGGGGTGGGTGTTCTACCTGTAGGTCTATCTTCAGTCAAGAGGTTTCTAAAAGAATATTCTATGTGCCTTTTAAGGGAGCTCTGGTAGCATAGCGCCTAAGGCATCTTGACTGCTAACCAGAAGGCTGGCAGTTCAAACCCACTAGCCACTCCTCGGAAGGAAGATGGGGCAATCTACTTCTGTAGTGATACTGTCTCGGAAACCCAAGGAGTCGCCGCTATGAGTCAGGTCCGACTTGATGGCAAATAACAGCAATAACATGTGCCTTTAAAGGGCACAGCCCTGGTCTGGTTTAAATACATAGCTTTTAGATCAGCATATAACCTTTTAAACCTTTAATCAATTATGTTTCTAGAAATTGACCGCAGTTTGCATTTTTCAGAGAAGTGCAGTTGTGCGTGGGGTCACCATGCGTGGAGGCTAACCTGACAGCAGCTAACAACAACAAGGTTCTAAGCACATTTTAAACAACAATATCTCTGACTTACCCCAATGTCTAGGACAGTGTCATGCATGTAGTTGCCGTATGTACATAATTTACTGAATATCCCGGTTTTTCAAGGGATTTGATTATGAGAAAACAAAACTAAAAGAACCCACTGCCAACATGTAGATGCCTGTCTGTATTGCTCCCTGATCAGAATCTTGAAGAATTGTATCCTTAAGTGGTATCAGTGTTCTTTTTTAGGGCCTCTGCTTCCTTTTTAAAAAGAATTTCCCAGCCCCAGATATTTCCATTTTACTAAACCTCAGAAAATTCCATGGATTTCTGTGTTACAATTTAGAAACCTATTTCTGGAAAAACCAAAAATTTAAAAATTGATTGAAAAAGATTCATGTTCACTGAAAATAGACTGTCATTATCATCACTACCAGATTGTGACATACAATTGTTTTGAGGATTCTAATTTTAAAATCTTTTTCCATTCCCCAAAATGTGAAATAATAGAGGAAGAATTTTATCACACA